TGTAGCCAATCAGACGTCAAATAAGCTGTTATAATATCAGCTCTGACCAATGTATTGCTTTTCTGGCAAATATGTTGCATATGGTCTTTTGTATTGCCTTGGCTTCGCTTGTCCTTACCCTCTAGGAACTAGCCGATAGCTATATGCCTGTGCTTGGAATAACGAATTAAGATGCGGCGAAGAGAACGTCGTCTGCCGACCACTTACCTGAAATTTACACTTCTCTACTCACACGGAGACATTATCATGTGATCCTCGTTTTAGAATGACGAAAAGCAAATAGTTGCCGTTGGGCAGTCTGATTTGGCAGGAAATGTTTTAAAGATATAATTTTGTTGATTGTTGCGTTTTAACTAAAAGATTTTAAAGCCTTCGGCGTTGTTTTATTTTATATTCTTATTAAACTATGTATTTAAAAAAAATATTTCTCTGAACGGACGTAAAATAAATCCATTATTTGTATCACACATTTACGAATTTTTCAAGCACTGGGTGCGGTCTAAAATTTACGGACGAAACATTGTGTTTAATGATAACAGAAAATGCTTTCGCAAGGGCGGTACATTGAAAATTCAATAAAAAGAAACTGAGGATAAAACTGAAGATTGAAACGGCCATGATGTTTTGATAAAATACGACATTCAAAAAGATAAAAGAGAGAAAAAAAAATTCTGACATGAGTAAAAGAAAACATATGAATTAGTCCTGATGTATGTATAATAATAAAAAAAATGTCTGACAAAATTCAAACAGTATTAACACTAGACATTAAAGGTGCCAAATTTCCTTGATGAGGAATCTAACAGAATCAAAGGAGGTTTTGTCTGGGAAACACAATCAGAAGGAAGCGGAAGAATGCCATGTTAATGAATTAAAGATGGGCAAACGTATAAAGAATCAATTTATAATATTAACGACATCTCAGTCAGAAAGATACCCAGGCTTTACAACTGATGTTCGGTAACAAAGAATAGAAAGAAATATAAAAATAAAAATATATATATATATATATATATATATATATATATAGAGAGAGAGAGAGAGAGAGAGAGAGAGAGAGAGAGAATAAAGAGATATATATATATATATATATATATATATTCTTATCTAGAGCCACTCTCTGGTTTCGTAGCTTCTTTTTTGCAGTGGTTCCGCCGAGATTCGATACTTTGGGTGTGTATATTGCCATCAAAATTACTTATCTGCTGAAAAGTTATTGACTCACTGCAAAAATCATGATAGAAATTACATCGGCCTATAACTGGACATTATGCATTGTGTGCATCCAGGACCTAGAAATGTCAGTTGCAATTTTTAGGTTCACAGGTGACCAGACACAAAAACTAAATATCTGACTCAGCTGTGACCGTTATATTTCCATCCATTAATTGGCATATTGGCATATATATATATATATATATATATATATATATGTGTGTGTGTGTGTGTGTGCGTGTGTGTGTGTGTAAAAACTATATAAATATAAATTATTTATAATATAATATATTACAATATTATATTATTATATATTCATTACCTTTACCAATATTACTATTAATTAGATTATTTTATTAATTAAATTATTTTATTAATATTCTTAATCATTTATTTATTAATATTATTAATCATTTATTTATTAATTATTATTTATTATTAATTTCTTATATTATTATTATTATAATATTATAATTTTATTACAATTTTATTATAATTTTAATTTTATAATATTATTATATTATTTTTTATTAATTTTAGTAATTCAATTATTTTATTAATTAAATTATTTAAATTATGATTTTAATTAATTAAATTAGAAATAACTATTGCTAATATTAAATATTATCATATATATATATAATATATTATAATATAATATATTTTTTTCATATATATGTACTATTTATATAATGTATATATATAATATAACAATTATATAAAACTTATAAAAATAAATATATATATATATATATATAAAATATAAAATAAAATATAGAAAGAATAGAAAGTAAAAATATAGTATGCATAAATCTTTTAGTAAGATATATAGTATACATATTCTTTTAGTATAATTAAATCATTTTTATGTATAAATATTATTTTGATCGCAAAATACAATACGTATTATATTGAATAAACAATAAATCATGGCAGTATTACAGTTAAAAAATCAAGGAATAAAATAACTATTATAAATACGATTATATATTAACGAAATAATGGGTATCTAAATGTAATACATAGATTTTTTTAATGAAAAATTCTAGTAACAATATTTTAACGTAAACTTTACACAATGTCTACAAAATACTGTTAGTTCATTACGCTGATATAAGAGATCATTATTTTTAGGAAACTTAATAATATGCAGCTTTTCATGTAGACACAAGGGACATGGGTCATTTAAGGATTTACAAATTCTCATTCTTTGGGATTTTTATTGATTTTTTTAAAATACCAAAAATATTTTGAGAGGGATGTTCGTTTACGTTATGCATTGTTGTTAAAAGAAGAAATAATTCTGTTATTAGTATTTAGTACACACTCCCATTTAACCAAATAGTTAGCACTAAGTTAGAGCAAAAGTTTCCTGCTTTGATTGAGAAACAGTTTCCATGTAATAATCCTCTAAGCAAGATTTTCAATAAAAATGCGATTAAGTTAAGTTATATTTGTACTGATAATCAAAAAAATTTTTTAAATAACATAATAATAAGATTTTAAATAAACACTTAAACCTAAATTATAATAGTAATTTTAGAACTGAAAACAATAATATTGATAATGAATTATGTAATCCGAGAAATCCCATAAATTTTCCGCTGGAAAATAGGTGTTTTACTGAATTGTTTGCACCATTTCATATACTGAAAACCCAAAGATTAAGAAATTTTATATTGGAAGCACATAACTCCTTTTAAACTAAGATGGTATTAACATATTTCTTCTTTCAATAACAATGCGTCAGTTCTTTTTTTATATATATATATATATATATATATATATATATATATATATATATATATATATATATATATAAGAATTTTGATGCAACAGACTTTAACCTAATAATTAACATTTTTAACATAAAACGAAATTCTTCAACACAACAGGAATTAATAAAAGAGCACTTTAAAGAACAGAAATTGATATGAAACCATATACTGAACGTGAAAGAGAAAAACTGTAAATTTTCAAAATAAAATATACATAATTTTTTTTTTTTTACTAAATCGGAATTATCTTTGAAAAACATAATTTTAATATCAGAAATTTGTTTTTAGTCATCGTACAATTGATTTTTTTGTTTACATTTCATTTTTTTCTACAACTTAATTTCTTTCCGGCTTATCAGTTATTTTTTTTTTTGTTTTTTTTTCATAAAGTCCAACTGTCTCTGGTCATTTTATACGAGATATTTTGGCGCCAACGTAACAAAATCTCATTCTTCTTTTCTTTTCTTTTTTTTATCGCCATGATTATCGTTATATCATTACTATCATGAGAGAGTAAGCACATTTTATGAGGGTTTGACATTTCCTTATCTGATCATACCGCCTTTTTTTTTACCTCCGGCTTTTCAATGTACTTGATTGCCTTACAATCTAGTTAAATATCTACCAGTTCAACAAAAATGAAAAAAAAATGTTGCACCATATGTTTACTAGTTTTATTTTTGTCTTTCGAGAGCTTCTTGCGTTTCTCTCTGACGCACTTTTTTTATTTAGATTTGTATAATCTTAATTTTTATAACTCACACAAAGGCACTACCATATATATATATATATATATATATATATATATATATATATATATATATATATATATATATATATATATCTATATATATATCTATATATATATATATATATAGTTATACATATACATAGTTATATCTCTCTATATATATAGCTATATCTATATACATCTATATCTATATATATATATATATATATATATATATATATATGTGTGTGTGTGTGTGTGTGTGTGTGTGTGTGCACTGGACTTTGTAGTATACGGTGTATTCAAGTTATCATTCTTCAAGTCAATATTTTAACTAAATCTTTGATGACTAACCGACCTATGCCTCCGCAATACAATGATATGATAATATACAAGGCGCCTTTCGGCTTATATATTTTTAAATAGAAATAGTTGCAAAAACATATTTGGATTTGAGAGATATGTATTATGACATTCAGTCGTTATTCAAAACATTACTAATAAATATGTGAAATAGAATAAACTTGAAACATTATTATAGTGGAACTTCGTGTTTCAAATAGACGCGATACTTTATTTATTAAACAGTGTGTATTACGTCCGGAAGGAACTGAATCTGCGCTCCATTTTGTAGGCTAAAACCAGAATAAATTGAGATTATATATATATATATATATATATATATATATATATATATATATATATAAAAATCTTGTGGAATTCATTACATTCACTTACGTGCTAATACCTTTGGGGAAATTATGAATCCTCTTCATCTCTCCACACCCCCTGCTATGGGTAAATAGCAGAACAAACTGAGTTGTTGGATGGCAACTGATCTAGGAGAAATCAGAATTCAAAACCTGCGGAGAGTCATTTGGGGATTGTGTGACACGTAGTGCACCAGGTCTCTGTATTCGGGCCTTCAGAAAGCGTGGTTGGTTCTGCACAAAGACTTCACCACAATAATCGAATCATATGTGCAGGTGTCTGACTGTCGGTTCCTAGGAATTGAATTGCATTCACCCTCATACGTCGAATACAACGAGAGAGTCCAGCAACTAGCATATATATATATATATATATATATATATATATATATAATAAGTTGTATAAAGTGAATTGCTGATAGCCCCTGTAGAGTGGACGGACAGATCCACCTACGAATGTCTGGAACAGAGATGCTGAAGGTAGCCTCAGTTAAGTGACAAGCTTCTACTCATATTATATATACACATATCTGTAACCATGGAAACGGGATTTTATCAGTGTCTTTA